TCTCTATGTCTCTCTCTGTCTGTCTGGCGAGCGCACGCGCCCTATAGCGAAAACCTCTCCAAAAAAAAAAAAAAAAAGACAAAATACCTGGGGCCAGCAGGTGGTGTGGTGGTTAAGGGCACTGGACTCCCACATGACCAAACGCAGTTCAAGTCCTGGACCTGGCAGCTTGCTTTCTTACTTTCCCTGTCTAGCTCTGTCCCTCTCTGTTCAAATTAAAAACAAAGAGACAGAGAGAGAGAGAAAGAGACAGACAGAACAAGACGAAAGTAAGAGAGAGAAAGAAAGTTAAATAAAGTCTTTAAAATAAAAAGACAACATACCCAATTAATGTGAAAATCACAACGTCCACGGTAACAGTGATAGTGCCGAGAGCATCGACACCTGTAATACCTAACTAAAAGGGCACCTCGTCCTTCATCGCCACTTCTACTCCCTTTAGCCGCTGATGGGACACTCCAGCTCGGTGCACCCACACTACCAAAGACGGGCTCATCAGAACACAGTTCTCCACGTCGCCCATCTGAGACATCCACGCATGCCAGGGCTCGGGAAGTAGAAATACTCAATCGGCGGAGGGGGGAGGAAAGTGAGTGGTGACAGCAAGTGACATATTTAGGTCTTTAAAGAGAATACGTTTGACCACTGACTGAATATTTACTGCCTGCTAAGTGCCCCGTTCTTGCTATTGCAGGTCTTGGGTCTACACAAATGGAAAGAGAGCTGCAATGCTGGAAAAACATACCAGCCAGGGAAACAGCACCCCCGTCACGGACACACCGGCTACCCTAACTAACAGGCACACGCCCAGAGAAGTAGCACCCGCATCAGCTGAAGGAAGGCACAGATGGCCACGCCTAAGCTGAGGACAGCTGGGATGAGAAGAACTCCAGAAAGAGGAGACAGTCTGTACGGAAATGCTGGGAATGAAACAGGCGCATTCAGGCGTTGCCTGTAACCCCACGAGAGCTTAGGGCCTCATTATGAAGGAGAGAACAGGATGACCCGCGATGGCAGCAGAGGAACCAGCCGGGCCATGCTCATTCCTGCCTGCCTGACTTCCATGCCCCACCTCGACCTGTGGCCCTCTCCTGGTTAAGGTCTGCTTGTCCTCCAGGCCTCTCGCAGAGCCTGCCCTTGTTCCCTCCCAGGACTCCTCGCACGCCAACAGAGCGCAGCTCTATCACCACATGTCTACTTGCTAACGGCACGCACTCTCCTCTCGGTGGCTGGAATATCGCTTTGCTCATCACTGCATCCCTACTGCCTGCAAAGTCTCCAGCACATAGTAGGTGCACACAGTCACTTGCTGAATGAGCTAGAGCTATCTCTGCTGGAGAAAGGCTTGGAGTCAGCAAGGCTTTCAGTGAGGAAGAGCTGGAGGAAGAAACTGGCCAAGGTAACCTAACGGTAGGACGACTGTGAGGCACACTGCTCCTGCGAAATTCCAGTCACAACCCACAGGAAAGACGGAGTCCCAGAGTTTCTGACAGTCAC